GAAGAATTATCCATTTGTTGCAATGGATACTGAATTTCCTGGTGTCGTTGCAACACCATTAGGGCAATTTAAGAGTAAAGAAGATTTCAACTATCAACAGGTAAATTTTTATGTTTTCGTGAAGACTTTAACAATGGAATAATAATAGTTTAAGAAAATAATAAAAAGAAAATAGCAACTAATAAGAACTTTTGGGAAAAAGAAAAAATTTTGTACGATAATAGGAAAGATTTCCAAGAAAAGAACTAAAAAGGAATGTTTCGGTCCACTGAGTCGTATGCCATTCCAGTTCAGTACTAGAAATGTTTTTATGTGTTGATTATAGATTTTTTCTCTTCTCCTTTTGCAATTCTTTTAGTTTTGACGGCATTTTACAGGTGTCTTGTAATGTAAATATGCTGAAATTGATCCAAGTTGGCTTCACACTGCTCGACAGAGATGGAAATATGCCGCCCACTGGTGATGTATGGCAGTTTAATTTTCAGTTTTCCTTAAATGATGATATGTACTCACAGGAGAGTGTCGATTTGTTACGTAATGCAGGGATCGATTTTGGACGACACCAGGTGAGTCTCTTTTTTTTCTGATCTAAACCAGATGATGCAGTTTTGATCAAAGTAATCCATAGAGTAAGATTACAGTTCTTTGGTCCCTTCACCATAGCAGTAGTGGTAAAGAACTGCCAAACTGTGGAGGGTTTACTCGTTTTAACAGTGACAGTGGCAAGTGGTTTTGATCAGCTTTTGATGAAAAGACAACAACTGGCCAGATTTGGCCCTATATATAAGCCATTGTATACTTTGACAAACTACTGAGCATAGCCTAGTTTTGCAACTAGCAATTCCTTCTTCAATTGCTTTGATCAGTGCTACATCGCCTGGTGGTCAGCCTGTTGCTGCTTGGTGATTCTATTTTTTGTTTTTTTTTTTTCCTTAAGGGTTTATCAGGTTTTTGTGTCGTTAACAACAGTGTTAGCTCGTTTCTTTGATATCGATCATACATTTTGTATACTTTTAACGATAATTTGTTGTGTCTATAACAGTTCTGTTACAAATTAGTCCAGGGATTTTTGCTGGAAAAATGGGGACAGTTGATGATGATTTCTTCACTCTTCCAGTTAAGTAGGGTTAAAAAAATGATCTTTTTTATGTGGTTCAACAGTAGACGCGATATATTGTTTGCTTTTTTTATGATTTATTAATTCCAATAAAAAAATTTTATCCCGAAGGCGAAATGACTTCTCGGCCTTCTAGCTTTGTTCTTCCGTCGCGCCATCCGCTTCGTCTCTTCTGCATCCGAAGAAAACATGTACATTTTCACATTTGACGTTTAAATTGCCTATTTGGTTCGCAAAAGTACCTCCTAAAAAAAGTTATGTGTTTTTTTTTTCAGGTGGAGGGTATCCGAATGGCTGATTTTGGTGAGCTTCTTACGACATCAGGGCTTATTGTTGATGCAAAAATCACATGGTTGACGTTTCATAGTGGTTACGATTTTGGCTATCTTATGCGATCCATAATGCTTTGCGAGTTGCCCAAAGAGGAAGAGGAATTTTTTAATTTCCACAAAAAATTATTCCCGTGCAGTTATGATTTGAAAATGCTCCTAAAACATCCTGACCTGATCAATGCGAAATTGCGAGGCGGCTTGCAAGAGGTGTGTGTGTCTTTTTTTTCTGTCTCATTATTAGTGAAAGGAATAAAAATTGGCACGGAGGACCTTGAAAAAATAAGATGAAAATTCACCTGAACATTTTACAAGTGCACTTAAAAAAAGTGTTTGAATAGTACAGGTCACTGCATTGGATCGTTATTTTCGCTGAAATCCCCATACCGATTGCCCGGGAAACTCTTAGTTATGGTAGCTCCCACAAATGATCACAGACGGATCCAGGGGGAAGGGAGTCTGATGGGGTCTTTCCCTCTCCT